GTAAAAGTGTAGCGGAGCAATTGAAGTACGAGGACAATGGGAAACCAGGCAGCTTGCCCAATAGCATTAGCAGTGATTATGGACAAGTAGCATCGATTCCGAGCTTCTTGACCACTCACAATCAACTCTACAAAAGAATCCCAATTCAGAAAAATGACACCCGTCTTCGAATTTTCTCGGGCACTGCTAACCCTTCTTTGTCACAGGTTTCTGCTGCTAAATTTTCATCAACATTTTTCCCGCATGCATGAGGATTAAAATATTTTAGTTGATTTGTGATAATTATGGGTGTCCCATCAAAGAGGGATAAATACGAATATGTGATAATATTGAGAAATGGGTCAAGCCATGGAGCCATAATAGCTCTAGAAATTAGTTTTATCTCTGGTAATGTGTTAAAAAAGCCTCAACAAATTCAGTTTCCACGAAAAATATTTTGTATTGTGAAAAAGAAAAGATATTTGGACTATTTCTTAGTATTGAGGCCTTGTTTGGTTTGGGTTACGTGCCTTAGAGGTAAGGTATTTCCAAAACATAGACTTAGTCTTTGGTTAATGTGACAAATTTGTTATTATTTATTAATACAACGAAGTACAAAAAAAAAAAAAATTGGTTGTTGTGATATGTTCAAACTTGAATCTACTAATGATCATGTAAAATTCTCAAGTCNGATCATGATCATATCAAAAGCAAATAGATCCTAAGAATGTGCTTTTATTCTAATAACATACCATTGCACTAATTAACCTTCAGTTTTTGACATGTCATTTTTCGTTCCAAATGTTTAACTGATAGTTGTAATTCTGTTGAAGGGAATCATATTTATATTATTATCGTAATTTTATTCCTTGATGGGTAAAGGTATTGTGGTACTATAACCCACTTTTTTTTTTTATGTGCTTCTCTTTCCCCGGTGCAATTTTTGTTGTGTGATTACTTACTTTTATTTTCATAATTTTTGTCTAGAGTTCGCATAACGAGATACATAAACAATTCTATTGTTTTGTACGGAAATGTGTCTTTTACAGGAAATTGCATGTTATATGGGTCTGGAGCTTGGAAAAATTAAGATAAAACGATTTGCTGATGGGGAGATTTATGTTCAACTACAAGAGAGTGTTAGAGGGTGTGATGTGTATCTTGTGCAGCCCACTTGTCCTCCAGCAAATGAAAATCTTATGGAGCTCTTGATAATGATTGATGCTTGTCGAAGAGCATCAGCCAAAAATATTACTGCTGTCATTCCTTATTTTGGATATGCTAGAGCTGATCGAAAGGTATGTTATCAAAGCATTGAGTTGATTTAAGTAAACCTAGTTCTCACATCAAAATTTTGATTTAAAATAATAGCATGTTCTGGTAATCTCAAAATTACAGAATGATCCATTTTAAATAGGTAACACCACAATCTGCTTGCCTTGACCCTGCTTTTTTCCCTGCTAAATGAGACGTCATGATGCAGCTTATAGGTTTCTATTTGAAAGCGCTGATTTTGTTGCCTCGCAGAGTCTTTTTATCAAAATTGAAGAATTCTTGCTGGATATAAATCGAAACTATGCAAATATTAGTAAACATCCACATGCCTCAGGTCTTCACTTTTACCTTTTCTTCTAGAGTGTTTTCACTTTAAAATAAAATCTTAAACTAAAAGCAATTAGATGCCAAATGATAAAAATAATCTTGAAGTTTTATTAGGTGTTTGACTACTAAGTAATTTCACCTTTATTTCATTGACAATTGGCCTCTGCCTGAATGAATTTGGTTGTTGACTGTTTTTAGTTTTCTTTGTTTTAGCACTTCACTTCCTATTTGCTTTTCTTTATGAATATTCACTTCCACTACAGACACAAGGGCGCGAGTCAATAGCAGCCAAACTTGTAGCTAATCTGATTACCGAAGCTGGCGCAGACCGGGTTCTTGCCTGTGACCTTCATTCTGGTCAGTCCATGGGATATTTTGACATTCCAGTGGATCATGTACATGGTCAGGTAAAAGGCCTTGAGATGTTTGTTCCCATGACATATACAGAACCTAACACTGGCATAATTTCTGTGAGTTTTGGTACAATATTGACCCAAGAAAATTTGGAAGCTGATGAATTGAAGATTGACAAATGGGGCTGACTTACCTGTCTATATATTTCATTTCTATTTGCAATCTTACTTCAAAAAGTTGCACTGATTTTCCATTGTTCACTGATTTTGAAATTTTTCGTTTATTATTATTTTTTTTCTTTGGAATGTTTGCAAGTAGCCTGTCATACTTGATTACCTTGCCAGCAAGGCCATATATTCTGATGATCTGGTTGTGGTCTCACCGGATGTTGGCGGGGTTGCTAGAGCAAGAGCTTTTGCCAAAAAGTTGTCTGATGCACCTCTTGCAATTGTTGATAAAAGGCGTCATGCACATAATGTTGCTGAGGTGAAGTCCTCCAAATTGAATGTATCTCTTTGTCATTTGATTATTCAGGTCTTTCAATCACATAATAACTCAGCATTGATTAAAAGCATTTAGGAGGACATCAAGTTATAAGATGCGTGGTCTGAAAGAAACTTGTATAGCTATGGCCATTTCTAGGTGTTAATGCACCTGTTATCTGGTATGCTACATTTTGTGCCTATAATCACCAATGGGTTAAGATACTATTCGGATTTTGCAGGTGATGAATTTGATTGGTGACGTGAGGGGAAAAGTAGCAGTTATGGTGGATGACATGATTGATACAGCTGGTATGTTTTTTTCTTTATGATCCACTTATTCTTTCACAATCGGGAAATAATTAGTTAATCAAACAGCTGCAGCTGGGCAAACAAATATTGATGCTACACTGCAAACACTATATCGAAATCAAGATGAAAATGAGAAGAATGAACTTTTTGGAATCATATATACAGCTGTATGTAAATAAATTTGTTTTTAACTATATTTCCAATTTGATCTTTGTTCTCCGCCAGGGGGAAAATAAGAATACATCTACATACAGCACTATCAATTTTGGCGCGACTGGTTCGCCATTGTCCCCCTAATCAGTAAAACATCAACTCTTAGAGCTGTAAATTCTTTTCACATTTCTTCATCGGAAGATATGTAAATCAATTGCCCAATTTCCAATTTTTGTCTCCATTTGGTGGGTGGTTATATACAGCCCCCACTAGCACTTTTGTCCTAATCAGTCTATTGTATTTGGGAATTGTACTTACCGAAATTTGGTTTACAGGAACCATTGCAAAAGGAGCAGCTTTGTTGCATCAAGAAGGAGCTAGGGAAGTTTATGCTTGCAGCACTCATGCTGTTTTCAGGTACTAAAATCCATTATTGTTCGCGATTCTACCAGTTATGGTTTTTTAGGTATATTAATGGAAGCTAAAATATCTTCTCATTGGAATGTTTGCTTGACTGAAAGTATGGCCTTTTTTTGGGTAATGATGAAAAATTTACTTCTCAGTTACATTCTACCTTCCCAGATTGGAGCTCATAAACATATCAGCAAATAGTCACCTGATCCCCACCTTTAATGAAAATTAAGTGTTAGATCATTTAGCTGCCTGATCGTTTAATTGGTCTGGTTCAGGGCAAGATCGTATATTTTATACTTCGGCCAATGGAGTCGTGGCTTTTTATTCTTTTGGAGCAACATTTCCATCTCCATAATCTATACTTTGCAAATTGTGCCAAGCTCCACTTTGCTCATACTGAATCAGGTATAATGCTTTTTAGTATATTGTTTACTCAATATACATGTTAAACTTTTTGCAGTCCTCCTGCAATTGAGCGGTTATCAAGTGGCCTATTCCAAGAAGTTATCATAACAAACACCATTCCAGTAGCAGAAAAGAACTATTTTCCCCAGCTTACAATCTTATCCGTGGCAAACCTCTTGGGCGAGACCATATGGCGTGTGCATGACGATTGTGCTGTGAGTAACTTTCACTTAAATCTCCCTGGCACTTCTATATGACCCTTAGCCGTAGGAAAAAATGAGAATTTAAAACAAAATAAATGAATTAAAGAAGAGAAATAGGCACTAATGGTATTTACATTTTTCTCTGTTTTATTCTTGCCATTTTTTTTGACAAAAAGATGCTCGTGCTATATATTTTATGTGATGTCCTCTGTGGAAGTCTCGAATAACAGATCTATTTCCCCCTACAAATTGGATAAATACAATACATGTGAAGAAGAGAAGAAATGGAATTGTAATTAAGGTTTTCTGCTGCCATGTTAATCCTCATTTTCCTTGTAAAATATAAAGATGTCTTCGTGCTTAGATTGAACCATTGGACTGTTCATTTGACTTAATTTTCTTGTCGCTCATTTTATTTTCCCGTTTCAGGGTGGATTTGAACCCTATTCGAGCTTGGGCATTGATTGAAGAATTTTCAATGCTGCCATCCCTGCATTGCGACTGTCATTTTGTTCACCTGAAAGCAGTCTTTTGAATCAACCATTATAGTTCCTGAAATAAGTGCATCTCTTATCTTTCAATTTCTTTTTTTTACCCATGTTGTACAAATGTGTTAACAAGATCTTTGTAGTTGTATGTTACAGAGTGGAATTCTATCTATAGAAAATCTTTCAGTGACTTGTTATGTTTATATAAACAATCTTCTGAAGGCTATTGTTTTAAGTATGCCATCTTGAATTCTTTATATGCATGTATGGTCGAAGTGATGTATACTAGTTTGGTTTAGTGCTGAAGTTTTTGCTTCAGCTAGAATAATTTTTTTTAACGGACAATTTGACGTGTATGTCTGATGGGGTATCAATATAGAGGTTAAACTCGCCTGTTTTATCTCAACTCTTTAAAAATATATTTTGTTACAAGAAACACGTAAAATATCACACAAAAGCTTCAGTCGTAGAAACTTTGGCTTGTATGAGCCGATGTTTTAATTTACTCATCTTATGAACAATGGCACAAGCATAGAAACAAAATAATCTTGAGAGAAATAACTTTCATTTATATCTCGATTTTTTTACAAATTGCAGAGAAACTACAGTCATCTAATATTGGAGCATCTCTTCAGCTCAGCATTGATGTTAAAATCCTTATCGGAGATAATAAGCATACCTGACTGCTCTTCTACCTTCTCAATCAGAAGTTTTAGCAATGGCACTTTTGAGAGACTTCTGCAGGATCCCACCATTATCAACTTCTTCTGTTCAAACAAAACCAAGGACCAAAATTGATGTAATCAGTTCCTCAAGAAATTTCATTCAAACAGTTCACATGTATCAAAAGATTCAAACTTCAAAGTGTGTATGATTGTGTGGATAATATCCATATATAACACTTATCCCCTCCACCTTGATCGACCTCCAGGGTGTATAAAGCATGCTATAATGTATTAAGTCCTCTTAATATACACGAATATATAAAAGGATTATTTAGGAGCCCATTTTTCTGTGATACACGGAGAGAACCTTTCTACACTTTTTTCTTCAACATAGTGGACTACATCTCTCAATGAGGTGAACCTCCAAGTGAACGTAACTCTCATCTTTAGGGTGAGAAACTATAAATCATTGTGTTTGCTTGGTGTTTTTCTGAAATTCGGAGTCAATCCATAACAAAGTGAACTTGTCAATGTTACATATCACACAAACAACAAAATATACGAATGCTCTAAGCCTCTAACTACTATAACAGGCATGGTAGATGAGAATATGTTAATACAAACCTTTGCTCGTGTAAGAGCAACATTAATACGATGCCAGTCTCCGAGCAATGAAGAAGTACTGATTCCGGGATTTTGACTGGACCTTACGAAGGAGACCAATATGCAATCTTTATCCCTCCCCTGCAGTAAAGAGATTGATAAGAACAAGCTGTTGCGTAGCCCCCATGGTCATGAATGCTGTCTCAATAATTATGTTCCTTTTATTAATCCCAATACTTCCTATACAAATGTAAAATTCAACACGGAAAACTTGTTTAAAAAGCATTAACATTTCTTTTATCTGAAAGAATAATTTCACAACTGCATCTTATGCAATTAAAATTCTTTTATTTCCTAAAAAATTGAAGTATGATTGACTTTGCCATAATCGAAGAAATTCCTTGTCATATCAGGGTATTTTATCCAATTCTGGAACCTGTTGTCTGTAAAAAAAATTGACATTTACAGCCACATTGTTCCTCCTCGTAGGTCTGTTTTTGTTAGTTTAGGAATGATGAAAAGAAAGCAATATCCTATTTTTTCAAAGTCATACGGGACATTAGATATCGGAAAAAGGAGCAATTTAATATTGCACTCTGCTGTCATGTGATTATTTATTAAAACTAGAAATACAAATTGACTGCTGCATGTCTGAAGTGATATCTGTCTTTTTAATAAAAGAGGGGAAGTATATGGAGCTACCAACTAATCTGTTCTAAGAAATGTCTTGTCTCAGGCATTTTCCTCCTACTTACTCCACTTTATAGTCATAAAGAAAAAAAACTAGTTAAAAAGGGGTTGCCTTAATATGGGGTCTAAAAGTAAAACCTGATATTTGTCAATGGTATGTATCTCCACAGGTGCAGAAACAGCTTCCTGAATGAGCTTTGCCTGAGAGTTGTACGGTGTGATGATGCCAATATCTTCCCCTCGAATGCCTCTAAGCAACAATGCTTTTGTAACCTTTCAATGAAAAATGTCAGTAGAGTGAAAAAAATCCTATGCCTATAGTAATATAAGTATCACAGAGAAAAAGGTTTAGGGATTAATCATCTGTTTGTCAGAATGAATTATACCTCTGCAATAATATAAGCTTCAATAGGGTTATTTACGGCTTTGCGGTCAGTTTTCTCGTATGTGGGCAACAAATCTAAGTTGGAACCGAAGTTAATAAACTGCTCAACCAATATGAGCACATAATTCATTAAATATAAAGGATTAGAAAAGTGAAGAGCAAAACATACCTATGTTAATAAATATCACTGGGTGCTTTGGATTCAAAACCTGCTGAAAATTCAACAAGGGTGTGTTGAGTGAATTTCGAGTTTGTTATGCGCATATCGAAAACAAACTTGTGCAAGGCAGAAAAATTAATTAGGATCTCATGGTCAAATTATAAAATAGCCTCAATTGATACAGTTACTTGTACACTCGTCAACTCTTAAGATTTATTATGTACAAATGTTTTGTCATACTATAAGCACCTAAACCCTTTGTACAGCAGTTTAGCGAACCATACAATAATTTTTGGTAAGTAAAGGGCAAGGGCACTGCAGGTCTAGATTCTTAATATATTTGTAATAAGACAATGTGGAAAATATTGTAGAATACCTCCAGCCACGAAGGAGCAGATGCTTTACATGTGTACTTGAGTTTGGCATTCTCTATTTCTGAAGAACCACAACGCAGTCTGTTTCCATATATCAATGCATTTGAGAGTTCCATTATGGCTGCACACATCCGGTACTGCATATTATAGCATAGTTGCATTGAGTTTTTCAATTCATGAGAAAAGGAAGCAAGACATAGTTCATTCGAACAGTTTACATCACCTGGCTATGTAAAGCAGCAATTGCCTGTGGATGCGCTTCTGATAATCTACAGAAGAGGCTCACGGCCATTCCATTCTCTTTTGCCTCTGGACTCTAATATCAGATGTAAAATTACAAGATCCCAGTAATTATAAAGTTTTTCAGAAAAGTAAATGAATTATTGTAAATGAAGAATATACCTGAACAAGCGGCGGCAATTGATAATGATCTCCCACAAGAACAAATTTTGATGCAAGCATCAACGGTCCCAAAGACACCTGCTTGGGCAGGGTTGGACAATATTAATTTTATTCTCTTGAGCAAATCTAAATTTATCCTTTACCATGTACATGGGAACTGCAACAAAATATAGTGCAAAAGATCTAGAATTGTGTCTAAGAAATGTATGCTAAATCATTGCACAAGTGATTCATAGTTGCAATACAGTATGAGAAACTATTTGCTTTTACTAGCATCAAAGAAACTATTAGAATAAAACCGATATAGATGATAAAACAAGTAACAAGTTTTTAATGCTCAACCAGACTTCTCCAAAATCATTGGACAAGTTCATTAAAATGGTCTGCATTTCCATACTAACTTATAAAACAAGACCTTTTGGCTTCTTTAATGGTACACAAAAAACAATTTGCTTCTGTGATAAGAAAACAATGGGAAAGCAAAATAGAGAAGGAACGGAGGAGGGAATGAAAGAGTGGTTGGATATCCCTTTCTGGACTCATACAGGAAATTACCAATAGTTTTTTCTGCTCTTTTAAGCAGTAAATCCAGTATGGATCCTTTCCATGGTCAAGCTACTGTAAAAACTATAATCATTCCATTAAGTCTTTGTACAATTATTTCTCTTAGTTCAGCAAAAGTAACTGCTTCAGCATTTGCCATTCTCAAAGCATATGTTCCAGTCCTCAGCGAGCAAAGAAAGTACCTCATTACATTGGTTACATTGCCCAAATGAGAAGGGGGTTACTAGAAAGTTATTTTTTATGAAAAGACAAAAAACAGGAATTATTCTTAATAAATATGGAGGGCATGCATGGATCCTTTTTCAATATTTTGTTTGGTTCATCCGCTACATCTACTAGAAGGTCCACTAGAACATATCAAGTTTCATCATCATACAACTGAGAAGTGCCAAAGACAACAGATTTGCATTTATTGACTTCGAACGTAGTATACTATAACATTTACCGGCAGGGTAATCTGTCCTGCTTCATCCATTATGCATACATCAAATCTCTTGTTAGTGAGCAAAGGGTTATTTATCCCCAAACAAGTGACCGCAACAACTTTGATTTGTTCCAGCTTTATCTTAATCTCTTGAGTGCTATCCATCTTCATAGCTGTTACCACCGAGTTGTAAACAATAAGTTTGGAGTCAGACAATTAATGAATAAGCTAGGAATTCGACCTGATATACAATTCCCTTCAACTTCCGTGTGCACAGCTCCATCTCTTCCAATGCGTATAAAATCTATTCCCTGTATATAAATCAGAAGTGCAGTGTCTTTAGCTTTACATTCCTATAGAAAGAATCTCTTTATCTAATCCTAGTGTATGGATTACAGGCAATCAAGAATCTATCAAGACACTTGAATTTGTAGAAGTTTTGCTTTAACTTCTCTCCAAAACTCCTATTAGCAAACAGCTGCCTACTGAATCTGAAATAGGCAAGACTTTCAAGAATCTGTTCTTTACAACAAAGTTTTTAGGCATACACCCGTAATGTTGAAGCAATATGGCACATGATTCGTTAAGAAACATGCAACAAAGTTGCAACAATTACCCATATGTGCATATGATGTTGAATTCCCATGCCTACCTGCATGTATTTATTATTTCTGCCTAAAAACCTGAACAAAGATTTCCTTCTAAAAGGAAATATCAGAATAATGAGGTTGATTTTGGGCTTGATACACTGTATTCAAACTTGCTTCCCAAGAAGAGTAATTTATCTAAAGGCTATAGGCCACGATTGCTAATCCAAGAGCAAAATGCTTTTGAGGTGTTGAGCATCACATGTAAAATAATGCAATAAGGATGAATGATGACCTGAGCTTTCAATTTGATAAGTAAATTATCAACAGCTGAGTTTGTGTAGGACGTAAGCAAAATGGATGCACCTCTCATCAACAACGCCTTCACAGCATGCACCATAGTGGACGTTTTGCCAGTTCCAGGCATTCCAAGTATAAGGGCATAATTCTTTGCAGTAAGTATCTGAAATATTTCAAATTTTTTATATATCAGAAACCAGCAGGTAAAAGTATTTTATACCAATTGTTTCTCTTTCATAGAGAAGATTTTTTTTTTGTTATTGAAGATTTGGGATGGACAAGTTCAGACTACTGACTCAAAAATTATAATTGAAATACAACCTTGAGGATGGCTCTGCGTTGATCATCATTTAAACTTTTCTCTGACCAGACATATGAAATAGCAGGATCTTGACTAAATATACATCCGCTGTCAAACCTAGGCATCTGTGATGCACAAATAAACACACACTGGGAAATGTGTCTATGCAGTATCTAACAAGGTGAGGGGGGAATTATAAGTTATGTTAGTATAGGTAATTCAGTAGAATTCACCTCAAGGTCAACGATCATCTTCCGCAGGTGAGAACTACGTTCATTTTGCAGAAAAACTTGTACAAGGTTAAACCTTCATAATAAACAAACATGTTGTGATGTCTAAATAATTGCATATAGTTAATGTAGAGACGATTTGCAAAAACAAACAATTTTACTTTCTATATATTTACCTCATGATGGCAAATGATGACATAACTTCATCTTTGTCAATCCTCCAGGATTGCAGATGAAGTTCTCGTGTTGCTGATTTACGACTGCTTCCCGGAAGCCTTAAGCACTTTGTGAAAGATACCTATAACAATTAAAATAATCAGACAATTGAAACATCTAATCACCAATTATACAATAATAACTGATTTAATAATGGGTAAATGACATTCTTGCTCTTCATGATGCTTTGAACTGCTAAGTTTAATGTGCAAAGTAGGTAATTTTTGTAGTGCCACTCCCATGATTAAAGCTTTTTCAGTTTTATCAAGGGTATTCCTTGGAGCGGGGGATTTAGATAGATACTTATATCTATCTTGTGAATGAGTTGATATTAAGTGCCACAGCAAAGTACTTACTGTAACATGGGAGTTACCAACATCCACTATCACTCCATTAGCAACTCGATGGCAACCAGGTTCAATGCTTAATATCTGCAATAATAATATGAATGTTTTTGTGTCATAGTTATTATTTATTATAATGACAACAAATAAATCATTTATTAACTACAAAGAACTACCAATCATGCTTATCACATTTTACCATGTTATAAGCAGAAATATGCACGTGAAAATACCAGATTACATTGAAAATAAGGCATGTTCATGAATTCTCTTTGAATTTCTAAATAAACACTGTTCTCAACTCAACTCATCTACAAAATAATTTATCTTAGAGATTGTCACATAATGAACACTGAAAGGAAGAAATAAAGAGATCAAACATAAAAGTGTCTCCTAGGGTAATTATTTCCGTATTAGTTCACACCGTCCACGTTACTATTGTTAAGGGATAGAATCTCATATCGAATAAAGATGTAAACATAAACTAACTTATAAAATATTGGGTTACTCCTCTTAATAAAATTGATCTTTTAAGATGGAACCACAAATCTTAAGATGACATCAGAGCTCATTAAGCTCTAATAAACAATTCGATCCGGTTAAGACTCCAAAAGTGAGCATACGGATTTCAAGATTGGTTTGCTTAAATGAGCCACCATTTTGCGGGAGCATGTTAAGGAATAGAATCTCACATCGAATAAAGATCTAAACATAAACCAACTTATAAAAGATTGAGTTACTCCTCTTAATAAAGTTGACATTTTAAGATGAAACCCCAAATCTTAACAATTATATCAGTCTCTGCACTTAAATGAAACTACATTCACTAAACCTTCTGTCAATGAAAAGGTGAGAAGTGAATAACAAATGAAAACAAAAATTAGGTCATGGGAGCAACTGCATTGCCTTCCTTTTGAATTAAATCTACTGTGATAAATTTTCTAGCTATCCTGGAAGTTGCACAAACACAAATTTATTTACAATAATGCAATTAGAAATACAAATTCCACAACAGTAAAGAAATGCAGATAAAATGTTGTGTCAAGGGAGGATAAAACACAACAAACTCTGATCATAAGCGCAAGAAGATAAGAGTAATGGAATTGATGTGACTGGAACTATAAATGCATACAAAAAATACTTGAAAAACAAAACAAAACAAGAAAAGGAAGATGGAAAAGATACCACATAATCACCCATCCTAAGTGCACAATCCAAGGACAAAGAAGAGTTCAGAGAACCCCTATTCAGTTCTTCTGTTCCAGACAAAGGAAAATCTCGGTGTACAAAGCGATAAACAAATTTGTTGTTCTTGCAAAAGTTTTTGTGAAGTGGTTTATCTGAAGCGTCAAGAACAAGAGATGAAAGGGAAATAGGGGAAGGGTCGTTCCTTAAGCTCTGCGAGCACCAATTTTCTTTCTTTACAACCTAAAACACAAAGACAATAAACAATAAGCGCATGAATTGAATTCTTAGCAGTCAGTTTAATAATGTGCCGGCTATTTAGTATTCATTACCTCCAGCGCTTTAGCCTCCAGGTCAACTAACCGCTCCCATCTTTTGAGAAAATCGGTATGCGCAGTTGTTAAATGAGAGATCAACGAGTCAAACACATCCCCCAGTCCGCTACCTTCAGTAGTTCCACCATAAGCCTGGGGTATGGAACACAATTATTAACTAAATATATGTTTACTGTTTGCTTCATAAAAGTACAACCTACATAGACAACAATACATGTCAGTCTATATACAGACGGTTTTTAAAATGATCCAGTAATTTCTTCGTTTGACCACTTAATTGAGATCTCCCTGAGAATTCTTCATTTGACCACTTCTGCTTTTGAAGGTTGCCAAAATATAAAATACACCATAGATATTCATGAACATCATCCCATGAAATTAGGACACTCTAAACTTAGGCCATGTTAGGCTAATGTTTATCAACTGTCTATAAATGATCAAATCGCTTTACCTGCAAGTACAAACCATTTATGCACCGCTTGTTTCTATCTATTTATAAATTAAACTATTTATAAAAAACTTCCTAAATATGCTTTTAATCTCCCTTAAATCCAAAAGTGTAGTGATCCTAGTTTTTTAAGTATGATTGATGATTTCATTATTTCGATCGATTCAAAATTTTCTACTTCACTCATTGTAACTCACAAGAACCTAGGTATCAACTAAGAGATCAGGAACAACTATATACAGTGGTCTAAAGTAGTCAAATTTTTCTTGATGAGTCAAGGAAAGCAACACAACTTACAAAAGAGCCTTGAACAGATAATACAACAATGGTTTTCGAGAGTAAGACTATCTCAACTAACTTCAATTTGAGGGATTCAATATGCCTAAGATTCTATACATACTTGGATACCTTCAAGTAGCAATTTGATAGTTCTATTCAACAAGTGTAGCATCTTTGTACCATCTGGTGTCTTTGACCAACTTTTATAAACTTAACCAAAAATTGATTCACTTTGTATTCAACTTTCATCGCTTGACTGTTAATGGATTCAATTTCTGTTTCATCATTGTTTCAACTTACTACAAACTTGTTGCAGCTATCATTCGTGTACAGACTTGGATACCTTCAAGCAGTAGTGAGGCAGATCACTTAGTCTCTCGTTCACAAGTTACCTTCCTGATGAGATACCATTAGTTGTGCATGTTAATATTGTCGTTACTAGAGATGATAGTGTTGCCATCTCACCTAGAAAACTTACTCCAAGAGAGATGTCATATTTTTTTATTTATTTTATTTAGATTTTTGGCTTCAATATGTCATCTCACATGCACTACGAATTCATTTTTCATGTCATGTGCAATTTTCATAAAGGTTGGCAACAAGAATGAAATTACGGCAGTGTTCAACAGATAGTAGAGGAATTTAAAACGTAAGAAGCGGTTTTGTTAAAAAACAAGAAAAAAAAAATTAATCAGAAAATTAGAGAAACTGAGATATTTACACAAGGGTTGAAGTTTCACAATCACGGTTGATGATATACTTCTTGACGATATATACAGGTGGGGATGAATATCCTTGCAAAATTTTCTTTAATCTATGTTTGCTCTTCTGCAAATGATTTGAAACCCAGGGTTTTGATATAATTGTTCAAGGTGAAAAATGGAAAATGAATGGGGCTTGTAATGAATGCCTTGATGGCCTGATTGAGTAAATCCGTGAATTTAAAGCATGCTTATTAAAAGAAAGTGCCAATTTGAGTAGATATGTCAAATAGTGCCGACATTTCTCGTGTATACACCAATTTGAGTAGAAATGGTCAGTTTACAAATTAGTTTCATTATCTCCCCACTTTTTGGAGTTCATGTAAATAACAAACATCTAGTTTATGAAACATTAGAGAAGGCTCTCTATGTATAGAAAGAAGTGTACCTTGTGGTAAACAGAACAAACGCTAAGATGGCGACAACCTTTGCACATATTTGGACTCTGCACACAAAGAAAAGAAAAAGAAAATAAGAATTTAAAGTTTCGAAGATTTATATCAAATTCAGAGGATACTCGAGCAAAAAAAAAACCTGTAACATTGGTGGCAGTTGCTGAGCGGTTAATGCCTTTAGAAGATCATTTGCAAGCTCATTACGACGCATTATAAGCCCAACTAAGTCAGATCTCCGTACAGAAATTCCCTTAAAAAACATTTATGATAAAACCTAAAGAATGTGAAGGTAGATATCGGATAGAGCTGAGCCATTTAATAAATCAAATAATATATGTAATTGGAATTACCTGTGTCTGATCTGTGTGAAGATAATACAGAAGGCCACATTCGATATTTTTCATGTATCTGAAAGAGAAAAATGCAGATGACATACATATATAAATAAAGAATTGAACACAGAGCTAGAAGAAAACATATAGAAGACATCACAACATTAAAACAAAAAGGTACGAGAACATCTTTCAGTGGCTTTCAGAAAGGTAATCCTTTGTGTGCTGCCCACCTTTCTGACATAAGGAGGGCATATAGCATCACTTGTGCACTATGTTCCATGGTTGTCTGCATAACAACAAAGTGGTGCCATAGAAAAAATAAGAATGCAGTTAGGAGGTGGGAACAATAAGTTAGATAGCTGCTGAAGAAATTAGACACTTTTCTTCTTTAAAATCGTCTGTTTGATAATTTTAACTTGCCTGGCCACTAGTTCCCTTCCCAGTTTTGAACTCTAATGGCATTATCATCTCATGAGCCTCATGCAAGGTTGATTCAATCCTTACTTGCACAGAGGCATCAATCATCCCCTTCAAGCCATACTTTGGAGCCCATGCCATTTCCTCGATGTCAATTACCTATATTTTTTAAGAGAACGCCCATCATAAAAGTAATGTGTATCTAGTTGATGGATGTTTATGTCTGATGATCCGCATTGAAATTAATATATGTACCCAAAGCTCGAGTTGATAAAGATTCCACATGTGAGTGTCAATGGCGTACTTTAAAAGGTTGTGTAGAAGTTATAATCCAGTATAATCTAGTTGATGGATGTTTATGTGTGATGATCCACATTGAAACTAATATATGTACCCAAAGCTTGAGTTGACGAAGATTCCACATGTGAGTGTCAATGAGGTAGTTGTGTAGAAGTTATAATCCAGTATAATCAATTTTTTGTTATACTTCTCTCAATAGACTTTGTAGAAATGTATAAATGGATTATAAATCATAATCTTTAAGAAGTAGAGAAAATGTGCACATTGCTATGATTCCAAAATTCAAGTAAAGCAGACCACGAGATCTAAATGACAAAAAATAGGTCTCCACATTCAAGTGCAAGCATTTTGTTTTATAGAAGAGTCTTATTGTCTCCGACCACGCCCACTTTCTGAGAAAGTACATGAAGTGATTTGCCTTACCTCGGAAATTTTGATCTTCTTCAGTCCTTCATCACATTTAAAATCAATGCTTGGACTTTTGAAATCCTATAGAGAAAACATGAAACATGTGTCAAATAGTGAAATAAAACAACAAGCTAACTCTTTTTCAAGTAAATTTGGAGTCCACCACATGAACCTTTTTTAGCCACTCCATCCAATCCATATCTAAAAGAACTAGATCCAAAAAAACTACACATGCCATGCCCCTCGCACTTCTGACATGAGATCGTGTCACTAACAGGAGCAAGAGCCTCTTTAGATTTAAATGATGCAATATGTAGCAAGAATGATATTCAAGTCTTATTTTAAAATAAACAGCGCGTGAACAAAAAAACCCTGAAATGTCAAATGACCCAAACGAAATTGTGAAACTTCTATATAATAAACAATGGAATATTATTCTTCATCCAAATTTTTTGAAAATATATTTTCACATTTTGAATATTAATAAATTAATTTTAAAAGTTTGTATTAGTCCCTTGTTTGATTTCCTCAAACACATTTTCATCCACTTGTTCTCTTAATAAAATAATTTTGCATGTGGATCCATATATTTTTACTTTTTAACTGTTCGTTCTGGAAAAAAAAAATAACTTTTCACAATGTCAATTCTCAAAAACCTACATCAAACAAGGGCTAAATAATAAAGGAAATAATTTGATACAGTAATGGAATACTAATTTGTAGCTTTCAATTAGAATGTCTTCTAAAGTATTGGTATCACTTTCATTTAGAATATCATCTAAAGTATTGGTGGTGACAACAACAAAGCATTGTTCTTAATAATATGGGGTTGGCCACATGTCCTTTTTGACTCATGTTTGGTTCATTGCTAGATCAATTAAAAGATGAAAAAGAACTAGATCCATAGCTACCAAAACACACCACGTTAGCTTAGTCTACTCTCCCTCTTCTACTAAAGATGAAAAAAAACTAGTTTTGTCATATGAATATGAGCCTTTTTAGGTCTAAGCAAAAGATGTCCACTAAAGTCATTCTTCCCTTAATTTTTCCAGAATACATACAACCTCCAATTGTTGGCATATGTTTCATTTTTTATCTTTTCCATTGTAGGATGCATAAGCATCCATCTTCGATTCTCATTTCCACTACATTCATTTTACGGACACCTTATCCTTTAACAGCTCAACACTTGGTATCAAAAAGCATTGCAAATTTAATAACTCTTATTAAGATCTTCTAATAACACAAAAGTCTTGTAGCACTTCTCTGTTTTGTCCAACATGCTCTAATTTGTTCATTACATCACTTTCATTTCCTCCTTAATTATCAATAATCAAGGTCCTAAAATAGTTATTCTTAAGAACAATATGATCCTCAGTGGCAACTTAATTTTTATTCTCATTTGTGCTATTACTGAAGTGGAATTAGTATTCTAATATTTATGTATAATAAAATTTCTAAAATATGAAGTTAGATTTTCATCATTTTAATACTTTATAATCTTAAAGCATTTATTAGTTAAACTTAAAAATAAGTAATCTTTTTGCTCGTTAACAAGAAAAGAATAACTTCTAAGGTTCGACACATGCAAAGGCAGTTCACAACAAGTTTTTGACATAAATGATTGGATTCATATTACGGAGCATACGCATTTTAGTCTGTAAAGTGCAACTTTTCTATAAAACTTGAGCAAAACTGAACTTGAATGGTGTAAGGTCAGCATCACAGCCACATATTTCCAGAAAGCTTGGTATAAGCTAGTTGGGCAGCGGTCCAGATGTTTATCCCACATCTGTTCCATTCAGCCCTAAATGTATAGAATTGTAGACATTCAATAAGATACCATTCAACTACCTGTGAATCTCGGAAGCTGGATATCCAGTTCAGTATTTTTGGGATAGCCGCAAACAAGGTTTTTTGAGTATCAATTTCATCCACTGCAATTACAGAAGGAAAGAAACTTTAGTGTCTGGAGATGATACAAATGCTATGTTAGTTGCATTTCTGTAAAAATATAAACCAATGAAATGCTGAAGGATTATGCTGTTAATGGACAAACATCATGGTTTCGAAAGTCCAAAGATTGATGAAACTGAAGAGATTGCAAGCAACAATTTGGAAATTACAGAAAGAGACTAAACTATGAATCTCCACCTCCACATGCATATAGGTTCTCAAGGTTTTTCTGAAGCACTATTCTCGCATATTCCTCCAAAAACTCTTTTGTGGGAGATTCCTTGATGAGCCCAGCCTGGACAAATGAAAATAAGAAACTTAATGCTATATAATACAGCATAGCCTCAAGTTTGATTCAGGCCATAAAAGATGTTTTTGACAGATAACATGGATTATATGACTCATATTTCCCAGACTACCTGAAATATCTGGTGCAACAAGGTACCCATTAATGCTGCAGCTGAATGCTCGTTACTTTTTAACCTCTCATCCAGGATAGCACGCCTTGGGCAGCTGAAACTAGAAGCAACCTAAATATTGTAACAATCCACAGAAAACAATTAGAGCAAGAGCCAAAACAGTGACAACAGGAATCATTAAAGGTAAAGCATTGAGCACAATGCCTGGTTTACTGTGTAAGAAGAAACTCAAAAGGACGAGAATGGAATTAAGAGAGCTGGAAAAAATTGTTTGAAATACCCGAGTGCCAGACACCAGAATATCCGGGTGGGCAATCAGAAAATTGTTCTCGCGATTTACATCACACTTCCCATGACCATCAAATTCACCAATGACGTGAACAGTATCTCCAGGTGCAACAACGCTGAAAAACCTGAATGGATGAAACAAAATTACAAGATTGTGATTTCAGACTACCCACATGTCACTAGAGTCTAGAAAGAGGGTTGAATTATATATGTAATGGAATTATTATGACCTTTCTAACAAACTTCTCTCCTGATCAACAAATGAAATAACATGGTAAGTTTTATCTCCACTTATCACGAGTATCCTAATAAATTCTAATATTACTCTGATTTACTGAAATAACTCTTTGCTAGACTGGACATTAAACAAGGTAGTAGTTCAAGATTAATAAAGAAACGGAGTTAAATCTAAGTACCATTCATCCCATAACTGCACTGCCCGCTCTTCTCCACTCTGTTCATTCAGTAAGCGTAGAACCTGAGAAACCATAGCGTAGTGTAATATCCAACAGCTCTATAGAACACCAATACACCATAGTCGATTAACAGTTTAGACATTGGACAAACCTTAAAAGGGAAATGAGGCCCAGATGAATCAGTAGACCCATGCTTTTCTGAAACCTGTAGGACAGATATGGTGCAGGAAAATAAATGTCCAGGGGCAGGGGTAATCATTTTCTCGTGCAAGAGAAATTAGTAACAAGTATAGACTGATACCTCCAATACAAGAAAATGGCAATTAGAAGCTTTGCTGTTGATATTTTCATTTGAATTGATTGTCAATTGATTCACAGCAAGATCAGCTTCAGGGCATCTTTCAGCTTCTAATAATGTTTCCTCGTCCTTACATTCTGATTCTTCAACAGATATTACATTTTCTACTTGATCTAAAATTTCAATCAATGCCTGAGTACAGAGAACATGTATTACTGATAACGCAAAACTATTTTTATTAAGTATAATTCTAAGCATCTGCATGGATTAATATAAGGGATGGTTTATGATACTTCTGTGAGATAAATATGAGTTGAAAAACTGCTTTCGGACAAGCAGATTAGGCTAAAATATTAATCAAGTGATATTCTCTAGAAACCTTTTTGTGCTGCCTTGAACCCTGTTCATCAGGCACTCCACTAGAATCTAAACCATCAGCAGCCTGCATCTCAATCATAACCAGAATCATCAAAAAATAAACAACCAGAGAAACTGAACTAATACACTTTACATGTGATATTGAATTACCTTGTCATGGCAAAAAGATAGAGATGGTGGAGTATTAAAAGGGCTCTGACTATTAAAAACATCAGAGTTACTCTTACTATTGGTTCCATTGCTTCCATGAAAATCCACATCACGGTCTGAATTCACCTTTCTCAAGGTAACCCTATCCGAGCATATCAAAGATTTTTCATCTGCCTTTAGTGGAGGGGAAGAGAGCCACTTTTCTAGATTCCCTGACTCACCAGGAGAAGCTAGCACCTGCCAATATGAGCTATAAATAGTACTGCAAGGAGGACGAGACCAAAATAAAATCTGGAAACGTGTACCTTTTTCTGTGAACATTGCTGAAAATTCATGGAGTTTAACCTAGAAGAATCTGCCAAGACTTTGATCATCCCTGGAAAGTGCTTTGACATTGAATGGAGCCGCTCATTTACTGGAGAAATTCTCCATGTCACCTCATCACCTCCATCATCCTGGCTTTGCTTTATTAACTAATCAAAGTACATAAAGAAAAGCAATTAAAATATAAATTATTAAATCTACTCGACAAATTCTCAGTATTAGCTGATTTATGGTCATTGTTGCTGCAAAAAGATGGTATAGTGTAACGTTTTCTCCACGATGCCTGTTACACTAAACATTGGGAGTGTTCATTTGGCATCAAAGGCAAAATGTAAGAGAGGAAGCGGTAGATTGTAAAATTGAGTCAAAACCTAATTCTGGAATCAATCAGAATTTTGAGGTAATAAATAATCTCATTGAGAAAATCTGATACTGGATGCTATTTAACAGTAAAAATAAATAAAAATTAGGTTGAATGAATGTCCACAAATGGGATTTTCTCTTATTTTTCTTTACAGTTCCTCAATTTCTTCACTGGGCTAATAAATCTTTCAAAAAGCCAATATTTTTCTATGTTATATTGCAGCTAAAATTGGTTGAAAATAATCGTCTTTGTATATCACTAACTAGCACTCGAACACCTAAACAATAGAGGAATACTATTACCATTCCCGGAGAAAACTTGAAGCGCTTGACGGACAACGACTTGCAAGCCTCAGGCGACACCTCTAATTGATTTTCCACGTCATCATTATCCACTGGCAAAATATTCTCATACGGTGTATTCTGAGATTGATTATTCAACTCACTTTCCCCCAAATTACCCCCATTTATAATATTTTCCAAAGGCACAATCCCCGTATTCAAATGATTGCTAGATTTTTCACTGGTACCTGAATCCCCATTTCTCATATTAGAAGCCTGCAAAATCCCCATTTCATTTCTGGACTCATGCCCAGAAACACCATTGTTCACATTAATTTTACTTGATACTACCACATTATTTGTACTTCCACCCCTCAAATATTTACTCATGGAATCAATTTTCCTAGCCAATTTTTTGGGTTCCTTAGCTTCCACACTCGCATCTTCCAATCCTTTATTCAACTTCGGATCAACTGACTTGACTTTGGGGGAAATCTGCAAATTTTGTTTCTTCCCAGTGACAGAATCGGAAATGGGGTTTCTCAGATTGATATTGTTTTTAGAGCTATTTTCAGAAAGGGATTTCTGACTCTGGGAATGTTGGTCGAAGAAATGCTGGATTCCATATTTGGGCAGCTGGGATTGCTGATTTTGATTCTGATTGTTGAATTTCTTTGCTCCACCGCCTGTTCTCTTCCTCGGAGCCATCTGTTTTGGTACTATTGAGTTATATCGATCAACGGTGTAGAACTGAGGCTAGGGTTTTCGATTTCATTGATGAGAGAGGAAATGTAGGAAGATTTCTCTATTTTTTGGCTGTGGTGAATTTTCCCGCCATAGGTATTAAGGGTTTTTGTTACTTCAGTTTTGGGAGGGAGAAATGTTGAACCGTACGATCAGTATGAACGGCTAGGATCTAAATCCAGTGGTTCTTTGGGTTTAGGCATTCTGCTCAATTTCCCTTCTTTTTTTTTCGAGAAGAAAAAACTTTATAGGTGTTTGATGGGAATTAAAATTAAACTATGTTTGATAGCCAACCTTTTTCTTGGAAAATGGAAAAAAAATTCATTTCCACCTCTTTCTCATGTTTGATATACAAATTTTGGCATGGAAAACTTTTTCTCACATGGCCACCCAAGCACCTCTTTTCTCCAAATCCAAGGAATTCTTTCTTCCAAGTTTTTGGTGGGAAATAGAATTCCAACTTTTGCCTGCAATGAAAATAATTTTCATAACCAATTGTAAAAAAAAATTCATTTTAATGGACAATTTTCATATAAAACGAAGTCAAACGAATGCTAAACTTTGATGAAAAATGGTGAAAAATTAGTTTTCGAGCATTTTTTTTTTTTTACTTTTTGGCAATGATAACAAATTTCATAACCAATTGTAAAAAAAAATTCACTTTAATTGATAATTTCCATGTAAACTAAAGTCAAACGTAAACAAAAAATCCAAAATTTCAAAAAAATTTCGGGTAGAATATTATACCAATCAAACATACTTATAGCCTGTCTGGGCGCAATTTTCTTGGCCAAAAAATTGATTGTTTGTCCGTTAATTTCAACAAGGGTCCCACCATTGTGAGGAGGAGGTCAACATGTGCGGCTGTCAACGGTACAAAAAGGGATTAAAAGTTGGGGAAAATTGGAAACAGACACATGCTTAATTAACAATTCACTGCAAAACAAGTTCTAGGCAATTACTTTCCCTATAATTCGTTTTCTTTCCACCCATTTTTCACTCTTACAATCAAACGGTGCCTTAGATTTTTAGTAGATTATGATATAAGTTTTTAAAACGTGTGGTTGAAAAGTTGTGGGACACGTGAAAGATGTAATTAATATTAATTGTTTAACTTTGACTTGAATTAAAATCAGATTTTAATCCGGACCAAACATGAGCTTTGATTGATTGTTCAAATTAGGGCCAAACATGTTACCCGTCAATCATGAAATCGGCTTCATTGGAAAGATTTGGGTCGATTTGGTGACTTCTCTATGTGGGCAAATTACCCACCTAACCAACCCAAGCCTTAAAGTTTGAAGGGACGTTGGTTTCATTTATGGGTTGGTTTGGACCAACTCGAAAACCTTGATCCAAAGGGTCGAGTTTTATTTAAAAAAATCAAGAGAAATATCCCCATCAATCACAAACCAACTGGAATTGGATCGATTTGAATTGATTTATTCATCTTGTCTCACTTTTGACTTGGATTTTCTTCAAACTTGAACTGTCGGTTCGATTGTAGGGTTAGGTTTGAACACAAGTTGATTCGACTCATGTCAATCCCTACTGGTGATTGATTTTCAAGTTGGCCGGGATCCAACCCAAAAATCTCGATTTGATATTTGGTAATTAAAATTAGATTTTTAGTAGATTGTGATAGAAGTTTTTGAAATGTGTGGTTGAAAAGTTGTGGGACCCATGAAAGATGTAATTAATATTGATTGTTTGACTTTAACTTGAATTAAAATCAGATTTTAATCCGGACCAAACATGAGCTTTGATTGATTATGCAAAATAGGGCTAGACATGTTACCCGTCAATCATGAAATCGGCTTCATTGGAAAGATTTGGGTTGATTTCGTGACTTCTCGATGTGGGCAAATTACCCACCTAACCGACCCAAGCCTTAAAGTTTGAAGGGACATTGGTTTGCTTTATGGGTTGGTTTGGACCGACTTGAAAATCTTGATTCAAAGGGTTGAGTTTTATAAAAAAATAAAATCAAGAGGAATATCCCCTTCAATGACAAACCAATTGGATTTGGATCGATTTGAATTGATTTATTCATCTTGTCTCACTTTCGACTTGGATTTTCATCAAACTTGAACTGTCGGTTCGATTGTCGGGTTAGGTTTGAACACAATCGATTCGACTCTTGTCAATCCCTACTGGTGATTAATTTTCAAGTTGGCCGAGATTCAACCCAAAAATCTCAATTTTTAACTAATCTAGGGCCAATTTTGGGTTGGAAATTCACCGAACTTGAAAAGTTGGTTTGGACCGTTTGGTGTTGGGCAAGGTCCGAACCTGATATGTGCCCAGCGTAGCAAAAATTATGGATATGTGACAAAGCATTTGATGAATCAATGAAATGTAGAATTTTTTAATAACTTTTTAACCTTTTTCGAACAAGCACTGTAAATTGGGTTGTATATAACGATTTTTAAAGGCATATTGCTTTTCTATGTAAAGTGGTTGAAACCATTCCGGAAATATAACATCGCGTTAACATTTCAATCGAATTTCTTTTTTTCTTTTATTTGTTGAAGCGGAGCATGGCGTGGCTTCTCTTCTTTCGTTTAGGTTATTCACTAATCATTGATCTGAAACTTAGCACTCACTTTCTTATTGATTTCAAGGGCTGCAGCATTCTTGAATTAAGGCATGTTATGGAGTGGCGAATGGCGATCAAATGATGTCGTTATTACAGGGATGCGTCTCCACTGAAGATTGGCGAATGGACAATCGATAAGAAAAGGAGGAGCGGCTTTACCCCACATAAACTAGACTTTGAAGTCGAACCGAATGGAAGAACCACTATAAAATAAAGGACACGACGCTAAATTACTATTATTAGATATTCTTTCGGCTTGCTCATTTTGATTCTCGTCCTTCATTCCATCCACCTTCTTCTTATCTGTAAAGATAGAATCATTTCTCGTGTTCTTTTATTAAAATACACAAGACTAATTATAATTAAGACTCTAGATGAATATAATTATTCTAAGAGCAATATAATTGATGGAGGTTTATACGTCCTATATCTTTTTATCGTTGTTTGAAAAACTAATTTGATATGTTGATTATCAAAGAAGTTACGACCTTCGACTTTTTGGATATTGAATTCGAGGTTACAACATTAAGCCCATGTTTGGTATAGATTTTATAAAATTCATTTTCCTCAAACACATTTTCAACTAAACATCTTCAAATTAAATAATTTCACACACGAACTCGTAACTTTTCGTACTTATCATCACAAATTCTCCCAAAAAATCAATTTTCACAAAATCTAATATGAAAAAATCTACATCAAATAAGTCTTGAATAATCTTCAATAGCAAACTTGGTCATATTCGATTGTCTTTCTTTACTTTAATTACGTAATAATTCAACTCAAACCTTATTATATTTATATTAACAGTTAAGTTACAATTTTATGTTGGGGCAAACAAATCCCACATCGGTTGTGGGAAGCAAATAAATCCACCATATAATTCAAGTGGGCTACTCCACCCATTACCCATTGATTTTGGGATGGAATCTCACCTGGGCCTGGTGGTGTGGGCTTGGGCCGTGGGTAATTATGGTGATTTATCTCGTGAGCCTTGTTTGAGGGAGGGATTGTTGGGGCAAACAAATCCCACATCAGTTGTGGGAAGAAAATAAATTCACCATATAACTCAAGTGGGCTACTTCACTCATTACCAATTGGTTTTGGGATGGAACCTCACTTGGGCCTGGTGGTGTGTGCTTGGGCCTTGGGTAATTGCTCTCAATAATTCCCTAACATTTTATTTTTCAACAAGGAAAATAACTTTATTTTCAAAATTTTGATTTATTATCAGATAGCCTAGTAACATTACGATAAATCAAAATTTTCAAAGAAAAAATGTGCAAGAGCAATGGCTGATTGTATCTCAGAAAATGCTATTTGTACATAGCATTTTACATAATGGTGCCATAATTGAGAATTAGGTACGCCTAGCATAGTATCTTTACGATAATATTTCTTAACTAGATAATAATTTTTGTAGCTCAACGCGGTATGTGCGATAAAATTTGTATTCAACTTCATCCGATAATGTACTAAGTACGGTACGTATTGTAAACTACGAACAATATTTCTTCACCAAATTCAATTGATAGATACAAGTTGATAATTTGTTATGAAATATTCGTTAAATAGTAGTCCCTCCATTAGCCTATTTCGCGACAAATAGTTGCATGGAAGGAGAAAATGTCACCTCTCAATCGAGGAATATCACATAGATATTTCAATCTATAGGTGCACTTTATGAAGAAAAATAAGACATTTAATTAATTACGAGAATTATCTCCATTAGTAAATTATTGTCGACTGCAAGTGGTTGCCGTCGGAAGCCGCGCACAATAATTATACAATGAATAATGTCATGTAGTTTTATTAGGGTTACAATTTCAGTCTAGATGAGGCTTGATGACGGCTAAATGAAATGTAAAATTAAACGAGTCATTTAATTTCGCTTATCACTTAAAGGCATGTCAACGTCACCTAAATTGAGATTGTAATATTACTATGAAAACGGGTAGTTGTCTTCCTTTGTCCAGACTAAGCTATTAATAGGTTGCACCACATAGGCTTTAATTGTTTCCCATTATTTGAAAACTCTTTTTCTATTATAATTATTTTTACATACTTATTTTCAAATTTATATGTATACAATAAAATATTTGAAAAATAATATTTTTCCAAAAAAAGGACCACCAAACAAGGGCCAAGCTGAAATTATGGTATTCATAATATTTAACAAAAAAGTAAATTTATTTATTATGATTAATTGTACGCACACTGTGTAAATTTGACCACTTAGATTGAAATTATAAATTAACTTTGTGAAATAATAATACACGAACTCACAATTTTATTTGTTATCTATAAGTAAGTTAACTTCTGTCCTTCAAAACTAATTGAACAACTCAAGCAATAAATGGAGCAC